ATGGCAGCGAACTGTGCGCTCTCCACGACAGGGGAAGCCCCATTCACCATATTTCTTCTTCTTACATTCCAGAAGGATCCATGTGCTGATTTTGTTGCTTGTATTGCCAGGATCTCCACGGCTCCCAGTACTCCTGGTGCTCGGCCATTTTCTATTTTGGCTACCTCGCGTGGAGCTGGCCCAGCTCTTACCTCCTTGTCCGGTTTCCGACGGGGAAATACATCGCCGTCACTGTGTATGTGTCCCGAGTTTCCTTGTGTCTCTGAAAAGATCTGCTTTCCCACGTCGCCCTTATATGGCGCATGTATATGGACACCGCTCACGAGTCGACGCGCAGGTTTTTATGGGGCGGCTTTCTCATGTGCCACGGGGCCGTTCACAACTTTGGGGGACTCATGGCGGCACGTTTCTTCCTTGGTGTGGGTGAAGCAGCCGTTGCGCCTGGCTTTGCCTTGATCACAGGCATGTTTTATACACGCAAAGAACAACCTCTGCGGTAGGTACACGTCCCCTCTCCACCCTGGTCCTCCAGATCTGGCTGCGATGACTCCATTCAGGTGCTTGTTGGTCAGAAGACTTCGCCAGACACTGACGAGATTCGGGGACACAGACAAGGCGCTTGGTTTGCTGGAAACTCGTTGGCCAACATCTTTGGTGGCCTGGTCGCGTATGGCATCGGTCAGATTGAGACGTCGTCTCTTGGGAACTGGCGTTTGCTCTTCCTCATCATGGGCAGCATCACCTCGGCCTATGCTTTCCTCCTGTACCTGTTTCTCCCGGACTCGCCAGACAAAGCTAGGTTCCTCGATGAAAAGCAGCGGCGAATTGCCCTGGAGCGCACGGTCGAGAACCAGACGGGGCTCCTGGATAACAATCACTTCGTTCCGAGCCAGGTCGTTGATGCCCTAACCGATCCGCAGTTGTGGTTCTTGGTGCTCTACACTGTCTCGGTCAACCTTGCCAACGGGGGATTAACCAGCGTAAGTCCCATCTCGACTTGTTCTCCCTGCCGTCCTTTGCGATCCTATGATGCACCTTGACGCTTCTGGACTTGTGTGCGGACGCGAATCGGAACCCCCGGGCGAACAATGCTAATTGGTGTCTAGTTTGGGGCACTTGTTGTCAAGGGATTCGGGTTTTCCAATCTCAATGCCCTTCTCATTCAGATGCCCATTGGCGTGGCGCAGCTCGTTTTCCTCCTGTTGACGTCGAGCTTGGCCACAATCCTTCCATCAGCCCGACTGGTCCTCATGATATTCAACACCCTCAGTTCCATGGTAGGCATGATCATGGTCTACGAATGCAAAAGTCGCGCGGCGCGTATGACGGGACTGTGTCTGGGAAGCGTCTTTGCGGCCAATATTCCTCTGTCCTTGAGTTTGATCAGTTCCAATGTCGGCGGGTTCACCAAGAGGTCCGTCACCAGTGCCACCTTGTTTGTCGCCTACTGCGTCGGCAACATCGTGGGCCCGCAGTTCTTCCAGACCAGCCAGGCTCCGAGATATGCAGTAAGTCCCACCCCTTTTTCTCACAGATGTATTTTTCCGTTTTCTGCGGTGGCTCTGGTCATTGACATGACTTTTCCGGCGGACATGTAGACCGGACTCAGGGCATCGCTCTCGGGATTGGCATTCGGCGCCTTCTTCCTTGCATGTCTGCTGGTGTATTACGTTTGGGAGAACGCGCAGAGGAATAAACGCCACGGACAAAGCCAGAGACGGAGCATGGATGAGGCGCTGCGAGAAGATCTGGCGGGCAAGACAGACCGACAACAGCCTGATTTCCGATATGTGATATGATGGGCGGTGGGAAGGGCAGTGGTGTCGAGGGTCTTGAATATGATGGTTCCATTTCGAAGATGATGAGGGGTCCGCTTACTACGAGTAGGTAGTAGCTATCACTGGGCTCTAGGCACTTCGCTAGGCAGTGTGGAGATTGATAATATGGTTGTTTTTGCGATCAGATATGCCTTTCGGCCATTGTGCAGGTCGTGCCATTGTTTGCTCCTTGCCCAGGGACTCTCATCGCATCCAAAGGACGAGAGATAAGACACAACAGATCATGGTTTGGATGCCGTCGTATGGGGTGAATGCTCATTTCTTCTTGGCTAAACTCGCCACGCGAGCCGCCGCCCTCAAAAGAGCCACTGTGCCCTCTCGTTCTTTGTCCATGGCCTTGAGCCTCAGCATCTCCACAAGTTCAGTCTGGTCTTCTTCAGCCGACTGTGTCTTCCTCTGTCGCTTTATGTTGCCGTTTCCGTACACAACCGTCCAGTCGGCCACGTCTCTGTCCACAGTCACGCCCGCACAGATCTTTGCATGTGCGCCGACTTTCACATTTGCAAGCACTGTCACATGAGACTCAATCAAGACACCTTTGTTGATGGTTGCTCCGGCATGGATCTGCGAGCTCGGATGGATGTATACACTATCGTTGATGACCGTTTTCAAGGGGTCACGCTCCTCATCATCGACATCATCAGTACCGCCCTGATGGATCAAGGGGCTAGGCTGGTTGCTTCCGATTCCGGGAGCACCTGATGCTTTTGAAGCCGGATCAGAGGTCGAACCACTTGTGCTCTGAACGGGGCCACCGATGATACATTTCTCGGAGATGATGCATTTGTCACCGATGAAGAGGGGTCCGTGGACAGCGACCAGTTGAGCTCGGGGATGTACTAGGGTATGTTCACCGGCTGCGATGGCGTGTGTGCCACGGATGTAGGCTCCAGGGTCAAGATGGGTGGTCTGTCCGAGGGTCACAGGTGGGCGTGATGATGATGCGGAGGTCGATTGCGATGGTTGAGAGCTCATCTTACTTGTTCTTGAACTTTAGAAAAAGGGAAAGGTGGAAAATGGGAGACTTTAGTCTTGGGAATTGCGATTCCCTTCCACGACAACACGAAAACGCGTCAAGATCAAAGAGAGGGAGACGTGGTTCATTGGCTTCCACATGTGATCACGTGAGAGGCTGAAAACCTGCCGCTTTTTGCATGGAATTTGTCCAGAGACAGATATTTGATCAATGTTTCAGACTCATCCACCCTTCTTCGTCCCACAAATTCCACAGACACCCACGTCACCGGCATTCACATACCCGCTCAGACTCTTCTTGCATGTCAGGCTCTGACACGACCAGTGTCGGGGATCTTTTCGAGTGTCTAGGATGTGTGAGCACGCCATGCAGGTGGCGTTGAGGCGGGGGTTCTCTAGCGAGCAGATTGGGCAGGACATTGTTGGAGGTCGTGGCGAGGATGTGCCTGAGCCTGAGCCTATGCCCGAGGGCGGGTTGGCCGAGACGACTTTGGCTGAGCTGGAGTCCGGGGTGGCGAGGTCAGATTCCGACTTTCGGACCACGGAGGTGGTATTCGGTCTGAGCATCAAGGTCGGAGATGCATCCTTTGTAGACCGCGTCGAGTCTGACTTGGGCAGATGACACGGAGATTCGGTGCTTATACGAGTAGCAGCGCTTGTCTCTAACTCCTCTTTCCTGCGGCCCCTGTCTCCTGAGACTTGACCGCCTGTGTTCGTGTCAGCTTGTAGCGTTGCTGGGGTCCCAACCGACCCGTGCGTGGTGGATGTGTCTGTGTAGTCCGTTTCGTTTGATGGGATACCGCCGTGATCTTTGTTATTTCGAAACGGCTGCAGGTAACGATCAAGTGTAGTCAGGTCTTGTAATTCTCGTTGGACATTAACGTCTTGTGTATCTTCGTTCTCGCAGACCCGGACCATCGCCCGGCCCTGGCCGTCTAGCAATCTCTGACCGTTGATGTCCTGGGCGTCTTCCTCGCCAGCATCCGCATCTTCGTAGCCGTCTTCGTCCTCGGTGTCCTCCTCGGCAGCAGGTTGAAGATCCTCGACCTCTTTTTTGTTTTTCTCAAACCGAGCCAATGCAGCAGCGGCCCTCAACTCCCGCCCTCGTTTACTCTGGGCCACCCGGGGCTTGCTCCCGATCGGTCCCTTGCGGTTGATCTCGAGGCTCAACCGGGCGTCCTCGTCCTCACCGAGCGCCACACCGTTCTTGCCAAATTTCTTCTCGATCCGCCGATCCCTCTTCTCCTTCCAGGTCAACTCTGGCTTGTCCTTCCGGGTCTTGCGTTTCCTGTTCCGACTTCGATACGTGCCTCCACAAAGCGGCAAACTCTCTAACTCCTCGCTGCGCAGGACGTTGTTGCCCATGACAGTGCCCAAGTCACTCAAGGTCCGCCCGCCGCCCCAGAAGCCTTCGCCCGTGTATCCGCGTTGCCAGAGGGCCTTCATCTCGTCCGCGTAGATGTTTCTTGTCTTCCAAAAGTCCCGCCCGTGGTTCATGTGCGTGTTGTGCGCCAACTCGTGCATCATGACCATCTGCACCATGTTAAAGGGCACCCACCCGCCGCTCTTGCTCTGGAGCACCAGCTGGATGATTTCACCATTGTTGAAGTTCCGACCGATGAATTCTCGGTTGGGCTCGTACTCTTCCAGCGTGGTGACGGAGAGGTGGTGGTTCTTCATCAGTGGAAGGCATTGTGCGGCGATGGCGCGCAGGAATGTGTCGGCGAGGTCGTAGGATGCTTGGTCCGCAGACGGTCGGGGAAGTGGTTTGATGAAGACAATCCGATCATTCGGATGGGATGATTTCTGGTGATTCAGCCGTAGAATGTTGAGGGGCATCGTGGTGAGTTGGTGGCACAAAGAAGAAGACGAGGCATCGCCACGCAAAGAAGCAGGCGGGGAAAAACGTTCCAAGGCGAGACGCGGGACTCGTGTAAAGTGGCCGATAAGCGGGCCATCGATCGCCGCGAAAATTGCTCGTCAAAACGTGACCACAAGGACAAGTACAAATACACAGATGACTTCATTGATCAGCTATTATCTTTTCTCAGTATCATTACCCTGGCAGTTCCACCATCCTAAACTCTACAGCTGAGAATGAACAAGGCACAAGTTGAAGCCTGTATCTTCGATCTTTGTGTAACACCCAACAGTCGTCCTTGACCATCACCGCCGTATCCATTGTTTCTAACCTCGGGCGTCTACGCCGTATTCTTTCCCGTCGCTCTCAAACTCAAGTTCCTTATCAAAGGGCTTTTTGGCATTGAAATACCCAGACCGTGACCAGTCAAAGGGGACATGCTCCCCGACTGCATCATCCCACGGTGCCCACGAAGAATGTGTCCAGTCAGGCTGGCATTTGACCAGCTGAGGAGGCGAAGTCTTCCATTCGATTTCAGTTGATAACCCCATGTCATGTTCTGCCTGCTGAATATTGGCCGAAGCGTATCCGTGCTTTGACTTTGTGTTTCGCGATTGCTCGTCGTTGTAGCCGACATTGACACTGGGAATGATGGCGATTCGGCCGTGCCCCAAAGTCCACAGGTCTTTGCAGAATAATGTCGGCTCGCCGGTATAGCACTCGTCCTTGTAAGCAGCCCGGAATTTGATGCTGTGCGACAGTAAGGGCTCTGCCTTGAAGACGACGGCTCCGTTCCAGCAGGCAAATACTTGAAGGGGGAGCTTTTCGTCAATGTGAGACTTTGCCGTCCTGTCATTCCAGAATAGGTTGTGAGAGAATTCAAAGGATCCACTTTGAGGAATCTCCACAAACATGTCGCCATTCATGCTGCGCCCTATCCAAGAGTCATAGAAGGTGTCTCCATTGTTGTTCCAATCCATAGCACAAACCATATCCGCTCGCTGATGGCGTCTTTGATAGATGAGTTCCAGGATGTCATCGGTGCAGATTGACACGTCGTTCAGGAAAATAATAGCGCCATCCCTTGCATACTTGTCCCGTTCAGTGGTGAGCGGAGCCAGTGCCAGGTTGCGAAGCTTAGCCAGCTCCGTCACTCGGTCATTTCCACCCTTCAGGGGGTCGATGTCGCTTGTCCGGAAATAGTAAGTCACATTCAAAGCCTCGATCGCATCCTTCAGTGCGGCCAGAATCTCTGTTGTACCATCGTCGGAGCGCCCACCGACAATAGAAAGAACGCAATCTTCGGGCCCAAGAAATCGCATTGCTTCGACGATCGAGCCGAGAAGCCGCGGAAGCACATATGCGCATTCGTACAGATTGAGCGCGAAGTAATAGCGCTTCCGTGGTTGCTGGACATTGAAAGGGAGGCTCTCTTTTGGCCGTAACATTTTGTATCTTTCCTTGATAGGCCGTGGACATTGTAGCCGGTCGAAATGAGTATCCTTTGGATCCATTATGGCGGAGATGTATGGTCCAACCATGCCCATTCTTGACTCATTCAAATCTGCGACTGTAGGGACCGACAACAACTCGCCCTCCTCTTCTCCAAAGTCCACGCCGAAAGAGGCAGATGTATTTTCCTCCACATCGTCGCCTAAATCGCTCGAAGATGTTGTCTCCCCTGCGACTGTCTCATCAATCCCAAGGTCAGAAGAATCACCGATGTCGCTGATCCTAGGAGTTCTCCAGGCAGGCTTGACTATTGATTCGGCATGTCTTAATATGGGACTGGATAGCAGGATGTAGAAGAGACAGACAAGTAAAAGACCAACATATATTCTTTCCGAGCCTCTCGAAGGCCACAGTGAAGAGACCATTGTAAGACCTGAGGATTGCGAAGTCAGGGTAGACGAGAAAGACTTAACCTCATATAGCGAATAGACAGTGCTTGAAAATCAAGTTCATGCGCAAATTCTTACCTGTTATTGTTTCAGTCCCATTGTTGAGGCACGGGTACGGCAGGCATTCCTTGCATGTAGTGGAACGCGACGCGTAAATGCGAACAGCAGCATTTTTCGCCCTTCTTTTGTCCACTCAAACGCTCGTCAAGACTGAAGGCAACTCAGTTGCCGCCCGAGCAGACCAGTTCTCAAATGGGCCAGTGCTATTCCAAGGGAAACCCCCTCGTTGTAGCATGAGTTGGGGTGTGTAGGAACGTAGCTCATAGCCGCAATGTTTCCAGCCCCCGAAGATGCAGGGATTGTGAGAGGTGTCATAGGCATGACCTGTACATACCAGAGACGACAAACCGCTGCCGTAGCTACTGTACGCAGCTTCTTTGATCCCACTCGTTCACTCTGATGACAGGTAACTCACCACGGTGGCACGGAGGTAGTGACAGAGTGCAGCGCAGATTGGCTAAATGATCTACCGTACATGAAAATTGCCATGTGCGGGGTTAGTCAGTACGGTAGAGTATAATGCCATCATCGCAGACTTGTACCTCGTATTCTTTTCACTTCATCTCATATGAATGTGGTCTGCAAGAGCATTGGCTTATGAAAGAAAGAATAGATCCGAAACCACCCACCCCACAGTCAAGCAATAGTCTTCTGTGATACCACCGAACAGCCGAGATTTTTGATTTGTCGTTCTTGTCACTCCACAATCTCATCGTGCACATGTCCAAACTGCCGAGGTTCAAATCTCTTCCTCCAATCCCCATCCATCATGTTCGGAGTCCGTGTTCCAGACGACAAGAAAACCTAATGGATAAGATGCTGTGGTAAATACAATATGACTTAGGTGCATAAACTACAATAAGGAGGTGGATCTTATCACATCTCGTACAAGTATTTTGTTCAGTGCGGACAGATTTCCGTCTCCTCTCTCGACGCCACGATTGCTGGCTTCTTTTGAAAAGCTGCGACTTCTATCGTTTCTACCTCAGGTTCAGCGAACAACTGCGCCCAAATACCCGTCCACTCGTCTACTCAGTACTCTCCATTCAACAGGACAATGGGGTCGAGAAAGCCCTCATCGTCAACCTCTGGATTTTTCCAAGCTCTTCCCGTTGTACCACAGCAATATACGGCCTCCTCGCCGCACGAATCGTCAGATGATCCAGTTTTCTCACGCGCTTTGTCCCTCTACCTTCCCAGCCCGCTGCCAACCCCTCTCGAGAACCATTTCCATGACTTTGCACGACTTGTCCTCGAGCCGTCAACCCTACAACACACGGTCGACTGTGATACTGATCTGCCAACACTCCACCCATTGACCACCTTTGGCGAAGAGAACAAAGTAGCTCCTCTCCGCACAAGTGAAGGATGGCGAGCTCTCAAGCAGATTCAAACTCGCGCCGGCGTGGTGGGAAACGGATATCCTCAGCCCACCTTGAAGCAAGACTTCAATCGACGAGTTCATCAATTCGGCACCCTACACCTTTGGCACGGTTCGTGCGCGGTGACCACCTGCCCTATGGCCATGACTGACGGGGCGGCTGTGCTGTTACGCCGACATTTCGATGATCCGGATGGAGATCAACCCGGTCGCGGGGCCGTGTTCCGTGAAAGCTATCGTCGTCTCGTCTCTTTGGATCCTTCGACCTCCTGGACCAGTGGCCAATGGATGACCGAACGCAGCGGTGGAAGTGACGTACGGGGCACCGAGACCGTTGCCCGTCGGATAACTGCTCAAGAAATTCGAAATGATGTCAACCTCAACCGGGACAAAGACGCACACGGTCTCCCTCTCGGCCCTTGGATCGTGGACGGGTTCAAATGGTTCTCCTCTGCAACTGACGCTGACATGGCCGTTCTTCTGGCACAGACAAGCAAAGGGCTCAGTGCATTTTATGCTCCTCTTCGCCGAAGTACAGGTCGGCGGTCGTCTTCCCCATCGGAAACAAACGGTGTCCGGATCCAACGCCTCAAAAATAAACTTGGCACAAAGGGTGTGCCAACCGCCGAGCTCGAGCTCAAGGGAATGCGCGCCTACCTCGTCGGCCAGGAAGGCCAAGGTATCAAGGAAATCAGCTCTATTTTGAATATAACACGACTACACACCGCAAGTGGAAGTGCAGGTGGCTTGGCAAGGGGATTGGCAGTGAGTCGTGCATACACGCTCGTCCGAAAAGTAAGAGGCGGCCAACTTTTGCGGGACAACGCGCAGCATTTGGCCTGGATGGCCAACGAAAGCGTCAAATATCGCGCCAGCGCACACTTTGTCTTCCTTGGTATTGCACTTTTGGGCGCTACTGAACAGGGTTATGAGGTTGTGACACAACACACCCGCGGCGCAGCGGTCCTCATCCCACGCTCGAAGGAGAAACAAGAGATACTTCTCCGTCTGCTCACTCCCGTGATGAAAGCGCAGGTCAGCTTGAATGGCGTCTTGGGCTTGAGAGCCTGTATGGAGTCGCTCGGTGGGGTGGGCTACTGCGAGAACAACGAAGATGGCGGTCTCATGAACATCGCCCGTCTATTCCGCGACTGTTCGGTGAACACCATCTGGGAGGGCACGACGAGCGTCATGGCCGAGGACGTGTTGCGGGTAGTAAAGAACCCAAAGACGCAGACTAGGGACATCCTCGACGACGTCTTTGGGGACTGGGTGCGGAATGTGCTGAATGCCGTTCAAAGCGCCACCCACGATGGCCGCCAGCAACGAACACTAGGCGTCTTTGCCCCGGAATGCGAGATGACCACGAACCGCTACAACCTCCTCCGCGATCTGGTCCGCTCAAGCGACGCGCTGTCTCTCCAGCGATGCGGCCGGGACATTCTGGACCACATCGAGGCCGTGGCGTGCGCTTGCCTGCTCATGTTAGACGCCACCGTTGACGGGGACGAGATCGCGACCGAAATCGCAAAGCGCTGGGTCAGGACGCACGCCTTGCCCGCCGACAAGGTCAAGATACTACAGACCGAGAGCAATATTACCTCGAGTGACAGGTCCAAGGAGATCGAGATGGACAGGAGGATCTTTCTCGGTTCGGCGGCGGCGACTTCGCCTGAAGCAGCGATACAAGCCAGACTTTGAAATAGCGTGGCTGGATCCGGTTGTAATTGGATGTGCACGTCCGGGACACGAGAAGGGTGTAAAAATCAACAAATGTAGTCGAAACTGAAATGAAACGAGGGACAATTAAAAAAAGAAAAATATTCGACCAGTATCTCGACCATGGTCATCTTGCTCTCCCCTACGTGTTCTGATATGACTTCGTAGCTCATCATCAACTAAACACCTCACATACTGTTCCGATAAATCCAGCCAGGCCGCCCAGGTTCGAAGCCGGTGCTGGACCTGTCACCGGCCCGGTCGCAGTCATGGTAGGGACAACGAGGACCTGGTCGCCCACTTCCATCCACTCGACCGTGCTGACGAAACGGAAAGATACCCTGATTTCTCTCCTCTCCTCGTTGGGCTTGCTGCCTTCGCCGTTGCCGTCGCCATCTCCACATACCTCGACAGCAGCACCGTTATCATCATCATCATCATCGCCAATGTCAAAGTGAAAAAGCTCCGAGTCGTCCCGACAAGACGTCGCAACCGCCCTTGTGCTAAACTGCTCGCCCTCATCAAGCGCGACTGCCGTCACTTTGACAGCAGCACGAATACTGTTGATGTACACGATTGCATGCCCCCCTAAAATCAGGACTGGTGAAGTTGTCTGTGCAAAGTCTGAGGTAGGGAACCTCGCGGAGAACGAACGGTAGCCCGCCAGATTCTGGGTGACATCGGCAAGAACCATACCCTTGCGAGCCCTGCTGAGCGCGATGGTGGCGTGCTCATCGTTCAGGAGTTCGACGCCAATCGTGCCTGTTTCTCCATTGTGCATACGCATTACTGGAAGCCGTAAAGTGCGAAGGGACACGATGCGGACCTGGAGAAATGTCGCCCAAGTATGGTATCTTTGATTCGAGTGCCGTGGCGTCTCTCCCTGATAAGAGCGAGCGAGAACACTTGATGGTAGTCCCTCTGTATCTAAAGACTCACCAGCAGCATAGGAACTGGCGCTCAACGCGGACTGAGAGGCATTAGCGGATAAACCATCAGAGTCCAGATTGAAAGGCCCTAGAAGCATGGTATCGCCAACAGACAGGATACCACAAGAGAGATGTCCACAAAGCACTATCCCCTGTTTTGCGATTTTATTTTCGGTATCCAAGGTGAAAACGCGGGATGGAGGGATACTGAAGACCTCATCGATATGGAAAAGAGCAGGATTCGTAGCATGTCCACGCCAGGGAAATTGCTTCGGCCTACACGTGGAGGGCATGCTTCGAAGTAATGCATGCAATTTGCTTATTCCAACCCCTGTAATAGCGGAAGTCATTAGAATTGGGACCGTACTCTGCTCGGCGTCATTTCGCATCGATCCAACAAGGCGGTCAACCTCTACCTGATCCCTTTCGTATATGACTTGGAGTCCTGGGCGAGCGAGTCCTTGTTCTGAAGCAGGCTGGGGGCCTGGCACGTTGCTCAGCATGACAGGTTTCCTACCGGCGGCCTTGAGAGCGGAGAGAATTTTTGCAAGAACACGTCGTAGTCCTGCCTTGGTCGCAATGTCCATTTTCGTGATGGTCACCACCAATGGCAGCTTTAGTCGCAAACACAAATCCAGATACGAGAGTGAGAGGTCCCAGCTCTCGGCGTTTCCGCTATGACTATATCCTTGAGAAGTCGTTGCAGCCGTTCGGTTTGTTGCCTCGCTACTGCCATCAGCTGCGACGCATAAAATGGTCCAAGAAGGCCTCCAGGATATCAGACTTCGGAAAGCAGACTTCGAGAATTTTGGAAGACCAGGCGAATCGGAGAGCAAGACAAGACGCTGAGCCAGGTTGTGGATGTCTAGCCAAGAGGAAACATTACCTGACGCATAGTTGATAACAGCAGCTTGAGCGTGTCGATTCTCCGAGTAGCCTACTAGTTCATGTGCAACAGAACTAGTGATCCCCGAAGCGATCTCATGTCGATGCTTAAGGAGCGACAGCCGGCTTTTGCCCCGTCCATTGTCTAAAGTAGAGGTCGACAAGGTTCCCAGTAAAGATGACTTCCCAGCAGCTGTAGTTCCAACTAGTGTCACTCGAAATTGATCAGTCGAAGCGTGGTCGACCAAGTCTGACACATCCTCTGGTCGAGAGGAATCGACTGACGTATCAAGGGTTGTTCTTGGGATATCGGCATCGGCTGAGCCTCGTGTGTCTGGGTAAACCAGTACTTCAGCAACCCAGAGCACGTCTTTGCGCGTTTCCGTGTGGCCGGTTTCACTGTCGCTGTCAACCCACTCGCACGCTCCGACTGGAACTTTCCGCAGTATATTGGTGGTACAGCCGAGGCTTGCGGCCATGGCTTTTAAATTGGTTAGACTCTCTTGTAACTCATCTTCGACTAAGCCTGCTAGCATGCCATCATCGGCCACACCGATTTCATAGAGGGCGCCCTGGCTTTCTTCGAGACCTGGCAGCAGCTTTGCTGGACGTTCTGGAACTCCCAATCTTGGAGTCGCTTCAGGAAGCAGCGGCAGAACCAGGTCTGCGTTTGATGAAGAATGGAAGGGCGAAGACTGTTGTAGTCTCCATAAGAGTTGTGTGGTCAATTGTTGTAGTCTGGTCTGACGAGTCTGTGCCGAAGGCTGTGATAGCGGACGATCGAACAGAGAGTCACCCAGGGAGCGACTCGATTCAATGGCGGCTTGGACTATGGGCGTATAGTGCTGTGACCCAGGGATGGAGGATGAGGTAGTCGTGGAGAGGAATTTCCGCCTAGGACGAAGGAGGAGGTGAAGTTTGTACTCTGTAGGACCGTCCTGGCGTTCTGGCTCCAGCTTCATGAGCGCATGTGTGACATAGGCCCCGCCACTGTAAAGATGTTCACGCGAGTGATGAAATGGCTGAGGAGTAGAACTTCCTGGAGTGGACCAAGGAGAATGTATTCGAGGAGGTTCATCCTGGTAGGTAAAGATGGAAGCCATGATGTGAGCGTCTATATCCTTCTCTTTTTCTTCAGTTGTTTCACGCAATACGCCGTGTTAATGGTAAACGAAACGAGGACCGGGATAAAGATCGGGTGACAGTGTGAGAGTAGTAGAGAAGTTGGGAGAGGCGAACAACCATTGTTGCGATGAGTTCAGCTGCGTGCAGGACTGAAGGCTGGAGGAGGTAGGATGGTCTTATGATGGCAGTTTCGGAGAGTTAGTAACAGTCATAGCATGCAGGGGAGGCAGTCCTATGTATAGCGGACAGAGGAAACCTTGAGTCACTGATGACAATGCCACCAATATAGAGTCACAAAGTCGAGGCTGAGCGAACCAAGATAGAGGAGGTCGAAGCCTGGTCAACAATTGGGTTTTCGGCGGCGGAACTTAGATTTGGCGGGTCATGCCGACGCAGGCTGCTCTCCCCTTGCCGCATGCAGGAAGTACATGTATGTAAGGGCCTCCCTTGTCACAGCTCCTCTGACAAAAGAACTCGTCGCTACGTACGAGTTACTTAGTAGAGCACGTCATTCCGGCTTTGGAGACGCCGCAACAGAATGAGAAATCTAGCAGTCTATGAGGGCGCGACTTTATTCGGCTACGACAACTCATGATCCCTCGAGCAATGCATACTGTGTGCGGGGCATTCTGTGAAGGATTGCCATCCCCGCGATTTGATTGTATCGGTGTAACTCGTACATGGAAGCATTTCATTTCTTTCATCTGGGTATCTTGACACTATCTCCTATGCTCTCCGGGTATCACAAGGAATGATCGCAGTCGACGGGGAAATCAAGTAAATGGGTGCATTGGACGAAGATGGTGGTCTGGCGGAAAGGAGCCCTCTTTCATCTCTTTCCTGTTTCTATTTCGGTCGTGGGAGAAAGCCGGAAGATCTTCCCAGTGATGATGCCAGAAGCCAGCAAGAAAATCCGCCGGTTCACTTGCTCTTCTCTTCTCCTTCGGATACCTTCTCCCACTCGCTGTCGGTGCTGACATAGCCTGAGCTCTCGCCTAGGCTGCGCCGACGCCTCAGCAACTCTGTACTCTCTGCCATCTTTGGCTCGAGGAGAGTTGTTGGACTGTCTTTCGGCCTCTCGTGTCTCGGACTCTGGCTGCGCACCGATGCTGTCGTTGTAGATTTTACCGGGTCAGCAGCTGGCGCACTCGGCAGCGGCCCTTCTGTTTCAGTATCACTCGCGTTATCTGGCTCCGGGCTCTTTTCTTTCTTCTCTTTTGCCTTTTGCGCTTGTTGTTCTTTTGCGATTTCAGTAGCGAACCAGTTGATGGAATACCAGAGGCCGCCGCACAGAACGGATAATACCAAAAAGTGTAGGGAATAGGTCGCAATGAGCAGGATCAGAAGGAGGAGTTGCAGGGCGGCAAATGCGGCATTCGTAGCAACAAGGAGTGTAGGTGTCGGACCGGGCGTAAAGATGGAATTCCAGAGCTCTTCGAGGAAGGAGGCCATTTTCTATTTCAGAGTCGTTCTGCGCAGCGCTGTGTTGAAAGAGGTGAATGGTAATCGAGGAGGCAGATAGCTGGCGAGGGCGAGAGTGGGAAGAAAGCGACGAAACCTGCCCCGCCTCCAGGAGGGTTTGGAGAGCTTTTAACGGGAGACCAAACCCCTGGCGCCTTGTCCCCTTGCGATTGCGGTAGAGGCAGGCGACCGCTCTATAAGGACAGGTTGGAGTATTTGAGTGGCTGAAGGAGGCTAGAAAAGGTGCAAACGTGGCATCGACAAAGGGCCACCGAGGATTTGCACCCCGAGGCCAGCAGTCAAGTGGCCGATGACGACCACTGTCGGGCACTTGTAGTTGGAGAAAAGTCAGAGAAAACAAATCATCCGGCCACCAGGCTGCCTGTTTGAACAACTCATAACTATGCCATCGTCAATAGTTTCACTTTGGATGAGATTCTGACTATTAAATATGTAACAACTCTAGAAATCCCTCGGGTTTACGTCTTCGCACTGCACTGTTCGCACCTGCACAGTCGCCAGTTTTACTGGCTACCCCAGACTCCTGCTGGAAGTTACACGAGTGCTTCCTCGCTTGGCTAGACGAGTCTTGTCCTGTCGGCACATGATTATTATCTCGAAGTCTGCGTGACATCCGCCGAAACCCCTACACATGACGAACATTTCCGGATAGATACATCCTGGAGTTTGGGACTGTCTGATCGTTACTGGGACAAATGCGAACTCGATTGTCGAAAGCTTCCGGTAGAAGCTGCATACATTGTTCCCTTGTAGAAAAGACAGGCATGGTGGCCATGACTAGCAAGACAAATGCGGCTACTGGAAGAGAAAGATCAAGCTTGCTTTTCTTTATGCATGTTATTTGAAGATGCGCCTGTCCATCAACTGGTACAAAAGGGGGTCAGATGATCATGCTAATGCCATTTCACGTTATAGCCTGGTCATTGTGCATGCAGTAGTCACACCAAAGTCCAGAATCAAAACGCGGCAGGAAACATCAATCTGTCATCTCATTGTGAAGAAACGCAAGTCTTCGGGTCGCCGAACGAGGTTGCGATGTAAACCACCATCGTTTCGCGTTTCGGGCGAAAATGCTCCGGCCGGTGGGATGGTAGTGTATCTCCGATGTCAACCTTGTCGCATCGTCCCAGAGCATACCACGATGCCCAGCCAGCAGCCCAGCGCCAAAACCCACTTGTGCGAGTGCCGATCTCTCCACGACTGTAAAGGCGCTCGGAAAACCAACGTGCGGCTGAATCTCTAGCACTGCGTGGCGTAATGACGAACGGAGGTTTGACTGGTTTCGTGTCATGTCCAATCTCGGGAGAACAATGGGGGCCAGCTGGGTGATGAGAATTGACCCTTGTGAGAGCTTCGTTTTGATATTTGCTTGATTGACCTGGAGAGTGCCCGCCCCATCATTGAACGAGGTGTCCCATTGACAATGGATATGGCTGGATGAAAGTAAGAAGGGGCATGACGCGCCAGTATTTAGGCCAGTCGCATCTATCTGTAAATGATAGGTGTGAGAGAGTGAATACTCCGTTCATGCATTTGTGAGTGGATAGATGAATAGTTCGGGGATCACAAGCGGCTCCGTCGTTGATCAGCTTGTGGATTTGCATCTAAACGTTTCGCATATTATTACTCCGAGTTGTGGTTACTAGGAAATACGAGTAGATCCCGAGCATTCCTAGCTCGCAGAGCTGGAACCTACCCGTATAGTCCTGAGGGCCAAAATGTACCTGAAGCACGGGGTAAGTGGCTGGTGAATCCATCGCGTCGACTAACAGCCACATGAACAACCGAAAGGATTCAAGCCACAGATTCCTGGCCTGCAATTACTCGTACATCGAGATGAGGCTGAATCGCCCGCCGGCTGCTGCACATGACACCCTTGGAAAGGACTGCCCTAGGGGAAGCGGTCGATCCAGGATCCTAAGACTTTTGGTACTTCTTCTAGACTGTGGCGTTTGGGGTCTAGTTGTGGCTGGTGAGCTAGGAAACTGCGAGACCCGAGTCCGCTGTAATGTCGAACTCCGGCACTCCGCAAGGATCGAGGATTTGGATTTGTTGGATTCTATAGCTTCCGAAGGGGTTCAAGAGCGATTTCAGAGGACTAGGTACGGCAGGTTCAGTCTCATAGGTACCAAGATATGAGAACTTGGGAGCTTGAGGACTTGAGAAGCTCGATGTCAACAAAGGGAATGCTCGTACATAGGTGTAGCGCCGTGCTCAAGATCGACTTTGAGATGTCAATGGGCCATGCCGAGAGGCTGAGGATTGTGGCTGTTCACCCTGCAAGTACCGAGCTAGCACCGACCTGTCGGTTACTCGCCCTCTTCAAGATGTGCTTTTGGGTCAATCTCTTTTCCCATGTTCCTCAGCCGCAACAGAGAGTGGAGGACGGAGGTGCTGATTCAAAACGGCCGACAATTACTCGTATCCTAGACTTTGTTTGGTCACTGACATAAGTGTCTGGCTGAAAGAAGTAACAGTGATGTGGACGATTCTTGCGGATTGGCCCTATCGCAATCTCCAAATCAGCATCATGGCCTGTGTATGAAGGCGAAATGATTAGCGTGAGGTCCAAGAGGTTAGGGTTACCACTTAACGGGTGTCGAGCGATGTGAGGGTTGGTTGCATCATGGACGTGCATTTGAATTCGCCCGTTTGCAGAACCACAAACAGGGGGCGTTATTGGGGTTTAGTGACGAGCGAAAGAACGAGAGGCACAAGGGTCCCATGGGTGACTAGGAGAAGAAACGGAAAGAGAAACGAGAGCGACCCAAGACGAGGTGGCCTATCGGGTCCAGCACAAAGACCTGCAAGATTAATGTTGCCAGCTTCTGTTGCATTATTCTTTCTGATGCATCTTGACAGTTGGTCATTTGGGGCATTTGCTGGGCATCGTGGGGGCGAATTTAATACGGACTCTCCCACCTTGCTCCCCTGCTTCCCTTTTCTCTCCCTCGCTCGGATGGTGCCCTTCGTGCTCACCACTGATCTCGCCATCTGTGCTCATCCACCAACCACCTCGCAACTTGTCCTCCACTAGCAGTCGATCCGTCAAGGCCGTCTTTCCAAGCTCGACTCCCGTAATTTAGCCTTGCCACCCGCCTACTCGGTCCCCGTTGGAGCCAAGTAGGGCCCTGTCAGACCTTTGAGAAATCAGCCATCTGGTACGGAGGACGGAGGTGGTTGTGCGTATTACTATTACCCTCCGGACGAGTCGACTCTGGCACTCATGCGCCGTTAAGCTACGTTAGTGTGCCTTGAAGAGCTGCTTTGTTTTCCCGGCCAAATGTTTTGGTGCTGGGGAGGAACGCTCAGAGGTTGGCCACCAGCCTCTGGAGAAGGGTTGACGAGGAAGAGGAGGAACCAAGAGAGACACCATTCAACCGTCTGCCTCTTGAAAAATGGGGTGAGCTAAGTCTCAATTGCTAAAAATCACACAGCGTAGAGTCGATGAAAATCATATCTCAACCAGCACAACCCATGCCACCTGCCCGATGAAGCAAATGTCGTGCTGGGACCTCTGAGAAGGGTTTTGTGGCCTTGGTCGAGGCTGATAGGCTACAAAGTGGCCGAACCCGGGGATCAGACACCCACTCTACAGAGAGGTACCCTTTTGCAACATTATTTCCCAGTACTATCCCACCAGGCTGGTTGTTAGTGGAGGCAGGATGGTGGCCACCACCCCTCTGCTTACCTGCCTTGCCTGCTTATTGCTCACCTACAGTTATTTCCCAGTGCTGGATGAACGGGCGGTTTCTGACGACACGTTCTCCATGGGTACACGGACCTCCGTATATACCATTGTTTCTGTCATTTCAAAAGGCTGGTACTTGATTACGCACTACCGCATCTCATTACCGCTCAAAGTGCGTGTTACTCTCGAAACAAAGAGCATTCTTGCAGCCCTCCCAGGTTTCCACAACACTACTAAACTGGCCCCACTGGAGACGTCTTTTGGTGAGTTATGTAAGTAAGCAGTGCTGACCGTGGCTGAGGTCGCTCCGCTCTCCATGGGCGTCGGCGAGTGGGCTATGCTGGTGAACCGGCATTGGGCTTTGGGCCCATGTACGGTCGCTCCACGATCTCCCTCGAGCGCTTTCCCCCCCAACACGTACCTGAGAGCGCGGTTTCTTACCGTGCTGAGCGCCGCACAGTCCTCTTTGATTCTTCGCAGCAAGCACCTCCCCTGGATCTCTAAAGCTAGGCTTGAGGGTATCTGAATTTCCCTGGACTCATGATCGCGGGTCAGGATCCGCCCGACCTGGCCTGGCAATAGACCTTTCCACCACCAACCTACTCTTACATCTGATCCTCGTTGCTGGCTACCCAATGTGAACAACCGCCTGGCCCCCCCCGTTTTCGACATTGTCTTCAAACGGTTATCCGTCATCTTCAGCTCTGGCTTGATCCATCCCAGTTCTCCCTGTCTCCATCTGCTTAAAACGTGGCGTGGGCAACACGGCTCCCTGACAACCCCCCTCCCCTCGAGCCACACCTCCATTTGCCGCGCCCGGGATCGCTCAGGCCCCCAAATAGGATCAAAACGTTCTTTGGCCATATGAGCAACGTACAAAGGGGACTGTAGGGCTGCGCTAAAGGGGGGAGAGGCGTGATACTTTCAAAGAGTTTATCCGTCGAGGATATCCCCGAGTCGAAGGCATCAGCAACCCCCTCAACCTCACAAGATCCGGTCATCAGCAAGCACCTCTCATCTGCTGTCAACGTGCCGTGCCTAAAGGCAATTCCGATACCCTAAGACTGGCCAATCACTGAATATCGTCATTACGCAGACTTGCCTCCAACAGAATCTGCGCGGACCCTTTTCCACCGCGGGGATAAAGCAGCACCTATTTCGAGATATTATTTATCGGAGCGGGCCCGGCGGTTTTTGGACAGTCAGTGACCGCCAACTTTCCGTTCCCTATCTTCCAGAACTTCGTCGATCGGTCCTCGACTACAAAGAAAGAATATTCAAGATATATCGAGCTTGCTCCTGCAGGCTCGGTTGTAGCCTCAGTCAATATTGCGTACCACAACTCGTGCCAGTCCACTCCCTCCCTCTTGTCGGCTTCACCCTCGGCCTCGGAGCGTTCATCCAGCCACACTCAGAGCGCCACATACAGCGAGAATCGACTCCCCACCGCAAGTGGTCAAGGAAGTGGCCGTGTCGGCACTTTTCAAGGAGGACAAGACCACGCCAGGTCGTCAATACTGACCAAAACGGGGCTACAACCGCATCAGGAGGAGCGGCAACGCACAGAACCTTTTTCCTACCCAACTCATCAATTCTCTTGGACATCGAACCAACAACAACCGACTTCAGCAGAGTTGCAGTCTACCGGACTGTCGCACTATACGCTACAACGACAAGGGTTCGTAACGTCCATTGAATCGATCGAGTTATGGGGTTGACTGACATGTATATCTCATAGAATGGCTGCTCAAGTTCTTCCTACGCCCTCGTCACAATTCCCCAACCACTTGCCATACGGGAACGAGATGCTCCATTCTTTTCAGAGTAAGCGTTACCGCTGCGCACTTTAGACTACGTTACTGTTTGCTGATCAGGAGGTTAGATTTTGACAGTCTGCCACCTGGGAACGCTGCCTACACCTCTGAACCCCCACCACAGCCACTTTTGATGGTATCTCAACCTTCAGTCAGCTCCGATGTGTCATATCGCAGACGTTCGTCCCATTCACCGCAGGCGGCAATGAGCGCGCCAGCACTTCGTGACCGAACTCCCATTCGGCACCACAGGCCCAGCCTCTCTCGCGGTCGCAGTCATAGTCGAAGTGACATGCTGCTGGCTTATGCTACTGAACAAAATCAGTTACACCAGACACAGTCCCTGCCGTCAATGGCTGCTATGCCATCACAAAGCGGGTCGACAATGCCCCAGATGTACAATATGCCTCCGTACAATATGTCTCCTCCCATCAACAGCTTCGCGCACCAGAGTGGTTATTTCGGATCCGCTGCTCCACCACCAACGGCGCAACAAGACACCACTACTGAATATCCGCTGCACCAGAATGAAACGGAAGCCCACACATTCTATCCAGTGGGCCGCACAACTTCTCATGGCTCAGCATTGAGCCTACCCCCACCCGAGTCGCCAAATGCTTTGTACATGCACGGTCAGCCGCAGCATAGCCAACAACCACTGCCTTCAATTGGGATGGCGATGCAACCCTTCCCACCAGTGCCACTCACTTTGGAATCTTCTCCCGCGGAAATTGAGATCATGCCATCTAGACCAAAACCACAGTGCTGGGACCACGGATGCAATGGACGCCAGTTCTCGACCTTTTCGAACTTGCTACGCCACCAAAGAGAGAAAAGTGGTAGCGCGGTCAAAGCTGTTTGCCCACACTGTGGCACGGAGTTTACAAGAACCACGGCTAGAAATGGCCACATGTCGGGCGGCAAGTGCAAAGGAAGGCCCGAGGGTGAGAGTTCGAACCGAGCGAAAAAGGAATCTTGATTATTTGAATTTCATTATTAGGATGGCATGGCGATGACGACGATACGACTTCAAGCATTCAATGAGCAAGTGGTGGAGGTAGGAATAGGTCGAGACATGACATCCGTTGCACGTCAAGTTACGGCCAGATGAACACTTGCTCAAGGGAACGGCAACGGAGGCGGCGACGACAAGGAAAAATGAGCGCATGCTCCGGCCACGGCGTCTGGACACTGGTTGCTTGGGAGGGATTGGGAAGGGGAGCAATGTTGATCCACAGTGGTGCAAGATCTGTGATTGATTTGGATTCTTTTTTGTCTGGCAAAAAGCATGAGTCTCTGGCTCCCGATGCAGGAGGTTTCAATGATACTTTGCAGCGGTTTTTTTGGGGAGGGTGTCTGGGGGCGGCTGCTGCTGCAATGCTACGTCGTATAACTTCAGAAGCGGAGACCCGTCTCTTGGTTTAGGCGAGAGCAGCATTTCAAGCTTTGCCTTCCAGAAGCGACTCTCCATTTTTCCGGCTCTTTATATTTCATGAGGCGTGTAAAAAGTATCGAGAACGCCTTGAGATCAAAGCCAGTCACAATCGAGGGAGCAGACTCGAGAGAAAGGATTCATGTGTACCACAAGCAGTGCTGGAACATGAGCACTGGACGAGGCTCCAAATACAGGATGTGAGGACCAACCGAACGACTACTGACAAGAGAGGACTGGGCCACAGGCTGTACGAGTGGTCGGCATGGCCCGTGGGTTGAGGCTTGCTCTAAGAGGGAACGTGCAGCCCGCTTGAGCAACAGATCATGGCGACTGGATCGGCGACTGGGTCAACGAGTTGCCCGAAGGCAAACAGATCGCTTGGCTGGCTGCATCTATATTAGGTTAGGATAAAGATATCCACCTCTTTGACCCTTGGGAAAGAAACAACCTATACCGAGCATAGAGGGGGAAAGGGAGTGAGGGGCATATGACTCGGCGGAAGGAGGTGTGTTGCGCATGTGTCAGTGCGAGGTGAAGTTTTCATGCAGATGTACGACTTTGTGGGAGGGTGGGTTTGGATGTTGGTGTCAGCTTTGCACCAGCAAGACTGCAGAGTCGCAGGCAACTCAGCAGGTGCCCGAGTTGGTTGACAACCAAGATAGGTTGCACACCACCAACACCACCACCACAAGCACGAGCCAGTAAGGTAGAAGTGCCTCGGTGATTTTTGTGCTAGCCAAAGTCCCGCCAACGAGGAAGTGGTAATTGGGGGGTTAGTTAACCAAGGGAAGACAACCAGGGGGGCGGCCAGAGGCGAGGCTGACGGTGCTGTGGGTATTGGGACACAGTTCCTCAAATCGTGGCTTGATAAGCCGGGATTTCGGCCCCGGGAACGTATCCACCAACACCCACCCAGAGATCGACCAGGGAGCGCCCAGGGAACTTCTGCTAGGGTTTTAGGGAGAGTCCACATGTGCCAGGGACCAGGGACCAGGCACCGGCAAGAGGTCTCCAGGTACCAAGGTACGAGTTACCTTCCTACCTTGATAGGTTAAGTAGGTACTATGTAGGTAGGCAATTCTCCAGGGTTAATGGGTGAGGTCATGCAGCTGCTCACGCTCACTGACCACAGCATCATGACACTACAGGCACCTCCCCATCATCTATCTTAGGCGCCTAGCACAGGTAGTGGGCACCACCGAATTCAAGGCCCTCTACAGCTACACTTGGAGTACAGGTACGGGGCGACACCCACAGCTTCATTCCGCCGAGTCACTGAGTACCGCTTCCCATCCCCGGCTCGGATGGCTTGCCCTCCCCCTTGTCACTTGGCTTGCCGCGCTTCCCTTGTCGCTCGCTTCTCTTCTCTTGTCATCAATTGTCATGTCACAATCGGATGAGTGGCTTTGTATGTCCTGCTACATTGTCCTCTTCAGTAACCCTCTTGCTCGCTCTCTTGTTTGTTTCCATGGCCCTAATCCCACCTCAGCTGCAGCGCCCAAGCCTTTCCGCATCCAGTCTTTTTCAACGGCTCAAAGCTACCACAACGTCCTCAGCCCCCAGAGTCTCGATGGCATCCCATGTAACATGCAGCCTCACTCCTCAGACTGATCCTTCATCTTGCTAAACAAGTGTTGTCCTGCGGTTCCCTACTGAGGGAAACGCTCCAATGCAATCTGATGGATACCGTCTGTCTCTGCACTAACACTCTTCTCCGCAGCTGGTCCCTTTAGAGGGCATCGTCTACAACCGATGTCCCAGCATCGAGAATACCGCCTCTCCTGTCATGACTGTCCGCCGCTCCTTCACCGCGCCAGTGGCAAGCGTCAGTCTCGCCCTTTCCCCGGGACAAATAATATGGCCGGTCATGTTTTCCCTTGTGCGGTTTAGGCTGCTAGCATCCGCATTTAACGGGTTTTAGGCGCAGCGAGATCACGCCTGAATCTAGGATTATCCTGTCTGCCTGCCTGCCTGAGCCTCTCGAGAACCTGGAAATCATCGTTACGCATCCTGTTTCTATCGGATCTGCAATAGAAGCTCCGAGCGACGTCAATGATGGCGTCCGCCACTCGATTTCAGTCTGTGGCTGGACAGGATACCCGAGATACAAGGATATGTGTACAGGTGCGGGTCTATCTACACCTGCTTGAGTATGCTACGACACATATCAAGTCGCCACTATCATCAGCGTAACACAGGGGCCGGCGTCGCCCTGCTCACGGAAAGCACGAGAGTCTTACCAGATTTATTCGGTGACTCGGGTAAATCATCAGAATTAACCCCCGGCTCGTGTAACAACTGATGACCAAGGTCCCATCACCAGGGTGGTAATGCTGGTATAACACATTTTCTACCACTTCCAGCGACACTTCCAAAGTTACCAAACTTCACAGCCAATCAACACGAGGCAATGGTTTAGGGACTGCCAACAATGCAACTGGAGCAATGGGTCGTCAACTGATCTCGCTAACAACTAACACTATTCTCAGCCCTGTTCCGCCCCCGATCCCCATGGTCCTTCGTGCACAAAGCTATGGCACCTGACTCTCTCAAGCCCCCGCCACAACGACTTTGTGGCTGGTGCTTGTGCTTGTGCCAGAAAGGAGAAGGGCGACAAAGGATCAGGTCAGTAGGTCTGTACCGAGTATACTATGGGACAGCTGAGGTACGTTCATGCGGCCGACCTCATCCTTCTGGCTTGGCGGGTCGTCAGACCTCAGGTTGCAGTACCATGCTCAAGGCCAGCTATTGAGATTAGATCCTGGCAAGTGAAAGTTTCTCTCCTGAACAGACACCGATGTGTTTAGTCATTATTCCTGGGAGGATTGTTACCTACACATGTGGCTCCATTCAAGTCCATCAATCTCCACCAGGGGAAGAGTCGATCACTGTCTCAACTGGATCCTTCGCCTCAGGTGTGAACCCAATTTCTCACACTTCGCCAGCTCTCGTCGCTTCTCCTTGTCAATGGCGTCTTTCTCTGGCCTCAACCCCATATGCAGCACTTATCAGACTTGCTGAAGTGAGCCTGGACGACTGAAGTTGGGACCACCCAAAGGATTCTACGCCGAGGGCGTAGGGAACAGCTGTGGACTTTACAAGTTGTATTACGACTATGTTGGAGCTGACTTGTGGAGCGAATTGAAATCAGTATAGGTACACAACAGATTAACAAGCCCTGTGTTGGGTTGGTCCATCATCATCCACCTTATCGCGAAAGTGCTTACGAGAATGGCCCAGCCAGTGTGAATCTCAGATTCCTCACCAGCAGCTCTCCACATACTTTGTCATGTGTACATAAATGCTTGCACAATAGCGACCCAAAGACCCAAAAGCTCAACAGGGCAGCCCTCGGCCCAGCTTTGCCGAGTGACTAGCACAATTGAGCAAGAAATTTCCAAACTGGTGTTTTTGGGGGACAGCGTGCAATAATAGAGTCACTACTATGGAGACATCTGCCGTTCGTCCAACTTGCCAGAAGCCGCCATTGGACACCAGCCTTCGAAGATTCCTACTGTTGGATAGCTCCAATTGAATCTGCATGCCATGCTCCGGGCTGGACGTTCAACCAAGTCGGGGCAACACCCGGTGTACCAAATCTGATATTGGCGCCATGATTATTGCCCGTTGAGCTCTAGGGACCTTTCTTGCCTTTGAGCTCCTGATACCTCCTTGCTGGTGGGGGCTGCCTCAGTCCCTCAACTATGTGCTGAGCATTCCTGTCAGGGGTGCATGGACTTTCAGACATGTTGCCGATTGATCACGATCTCCATCAGCTTCTGGAGACTACGAAGAGGAGTGGAGGACAAATTTGGAGACGGTACCTTTGGTCAATCCGAAACCTCCTGGAGTCCAGTCGTACGATTGATCAAAGCATGTATCCACAAGGGGCCGGAAGATTTCCCTTTCAAGGTCCCATGGGCCCCATTACTATTCGTCGAGGGAAGCTGAGCTGCTCGCGTCCAGGACTACTGCCAGCCACTTGCAACAACTATTGAAGACGGCTGCCACAAAAACTCTCTTTGGCCTGCCACGAAGTCGAGAACTTTGACGGTCGTCAGAAAAATCATTGGCCATTTTTGTACCTCACACGAACGAGCAGGGAGTGCGTGCCGTAGCTCCGCATGCAAGAGCAGTCATGTATGTTTGTGAAAACGCTAGAACGTCGATACAACCGGCAAGCTGCCTCGATGTTTGCCGAGATGCCACGGCTGAGTTTGGCGGCTCCTCCTTTGTACAGAGGGCGTCAAAGGAACAGGGGCTTCTCAAAAATTTGTCAGTCATTACATACGAAACAAACCACAGCCATGGAGTGCAGATGCATGATGCCTGAGACTGCCTTGATGTGGTTATTTCCCTTAATGACCACCGTCTAGTCGCGGGCGGCAATGGCAAGGGATGAGACGGATGCCATGTCTGCAGTCTGCTGCTGGGCAGGATTACTGAAGAGGATGGTGCTCATTCCTCAGCAAGGAGCGTGATTTGACGGGTTTCTTGCCCCAATGTCAACCTATTGGTAACAGGCAACGGACTCGCCGAGCCCC